GCCTCAGCCTACAACCCCCTCTCTCCCTGCGAATGTGAGGTCATTTATGAACGCCCCCATACTTAACACCCCCCCCCCCACCCCCACCACCACCACAACCTTTCTGTCCTCTATGAGTATAACGTCTTTTATGGCCAACCCTTAAGCCAGACAACAAACTCTTCCTCTAAACATTCTAAATTAAACAAAAATAATCAACTTCAGAGGTCACTACCCCATATAAACAATAGAACAATCTATATATATAATTCTCTTCTTCGAGCCGTTAGAAAACAAGCTGCAAACGCTCTCCCTACCTCCCCACCCCTATATGGTTTTAGTGAGCTGTGTTCACTCTAAATGTTTACAAGCAGAGCCAACGATTTTAAACGTAGGGGGGGGGGGGGGGAGGGGGGGGGGGGAAGGAAGGGGGGGGGGTTATGGTCCTTAACGAGCTACTTATAGTGTTTTAAAGAAATATTTTCAGTGTCAGCGTTGGTACTGTCGAATTCACAAATTATGAATTATTGAAAATTAGAAACAACTAAATAGCGGCGTATGTTATGCCGCGGGCCGGCTCGTATTATAATATGCCACATAGAAAAACAAGCTGCATTCCCGTGCTACGCCACGGTTAATCTTTTTTTACCAGCTTGGGAGCAGAACAAAACTAAACTCAACGGAAACAATATGAGAATTCGCCACTACCCCATATAGAACAATTTGTTAAATTGCCACTACCCCACATAACTATGTAATATAATACTATGATACACCACCACTACTCCCATCTAAACAATATAACAATATGATACACCACCACTACCCCATATAAACAATATAAAAATACACCACCACTACCTGTATATCCCAAAAAAAAAACTCCCCTCTCCCTTCTTGTTACACAGCTTGTGATACGAGCGTCCCCAAATAATATATCATTTCAATAATAGCAATTGATACCGTCTAGTTCTATAAGCGTCTATGTTCTCTGCTGATTAATATCTTCTAGTGATATTTGATTGATTTCGTCTATTGATTAGGGAGTGGCATGTGTTGTTCAAGCAAACAGCCTGCTTCAACAGCAGGGACAGGGGGAGGGGAGAGAAAGAGAAATAGATTGAAGAAGGGAGACAGATGTAGAAAGAGATGAGAGTGGAGAAGTGGGGGGGGGGGAAGAGAGGAAGGGAAATATATTGAAGAAGGGAGACATAGGTAGAAAAAGATGAGAGTGGACAAGAGGGGGGGGGGGAGAAGGGAAATAAATTGAAGACGGAAGACAGAGGTAGAAAAAGATGAGAGTGGAGAAGTGGGGGGGGGGGGGGGGGAGATGGGAAATAAATTGAAGAAGGAAGACAGAGGTAGAAAAAGATGAGAGTGGAGAAGTGGGGGGGGGGGGGGGGGGGAGAAGGGAAATAAATTGAAGACGGAAGACAGAGGTAGAAAAAGATGAGAGTGGAGAAGTGGGGGGGGGGGGGGGGAGAAGGGAAATAAATTGAAGAAGGGAGACATAGGTAGAAAAAGATGAGAGTGGACAAGAGGGGGGGGGGGGGAGAAGGGAAATAAATTGAAGACGGAAGACAGAGGTAGAAAAAGATGAGAGTGGAGAAGTGGGGGGAGGGAAGAAGGGAAATAAATTGAAGAAGGGAGACAGAGGTAGAAAGAGATTAGAGTGGAGAAGTGGGGGGGGGGAGAGAAGGGAAATAGATTGAAGACGGAAGACAGAGGTAGAAAGAGATGAGAGTGGAGAAGTGGGGGAAGGGGGGGGGGGGAAAGAGAGGGGAAATAAATTGAAGAAGGGAGACAGAGGTAGAAAGAGATGTGAGTGGACAAGAGGGGGGGGGGGGGAGAAGGGAAATAAATTGAAGACGGAAGACAGAGGTAGAAAAAGATGAGAGTGGTCAAGTGGGTGAGACGGGAAATAAAGTAAAAAATTGAACATGTTTGTAACATGCATTGTCTCCTCTCTAAGGAGACAGAGGGGTAGAAAGGGAGAGAGAGAGAAAGGGGAATGAAGAAGAGGTGTGATGAAGAGAGAGGCAGAAGAAAGAGGGAGAAAGAGAGAAGAATAATGAGTGGATAAGGGAAATGGAAAAGAGGTGTGAGGAAGTGAGAGAGTAAAGGATGGAGGAAGAGAGGATGGAAGAGAGCGGGAGAAAGAGAGGGTGAGGGAGAAGAAAAACAGGTGTGAGGGAGACAGTGAAAGTGAAAGATGGAGAAAGAGGATGGAAGAGAGCGGGAGAAAGAGAGGATGAGGGAGAAGGAAAAGAGGTGTGAGGAATTAAAAGAGTGAAAGATGTAGAAAGAGAGAGGATGGAAGAGAGATGGAGAAAGAGAGATGGAGAAAGAGAGAGGAAGAAATAGAGAGGGAGAAAGAGAGGATGAGGGTAAGCAAAAGGAGGAAGGCTGTGTGCGAGTGAGGAGACGGCCGTGTTTACATCACGCCGTGTGTCCACGCAGTAACCAACTCGTGGGACGCCAATCTTGCCCGAGGTAATCGAATACGTGCCATGTGTAAGGACGTCGTGGATGTAGACGTCTAGACAATTCCAGACTTACGCTTTGTTGCTTTTATTTGTATGTTGTTGTTTTATTATTACTTTATTTTTAAAGTGGATGGAGCTCCAGTTACAAATAAAAACAATCTTGCATGTATTTTTTTTTCTAGTCAGAAAGAATTGGAATAAAGGGAAATAACTATCAACCTACTCCATGGGAAATAACTCGTGGCCAGAAAAACATCTTTGGTGTATTGCCATCGTGTCGAATTTTTTGTTCATTTGTTTCTTCATAAATAAACGGTATCTTTTGTTTTTGCTTTGTTTTTTAAATTATTTTTTGTTTGTGTTCACAGTTATAATCTCTTTTTAAAGGATGTTTGGGGAAAATAATAGTTTCTCTGCAGAGGCGTAGCGACCCCTCCCGGCGCCCAGGGACAAACTTTCGATTTGGCGCCCCCCCCCCTATATTTTTTATATTTATAATTCAAAATAGCAGCTAAAATGAGCTTATTTTGGCGCCCATAGGGTCGGCGCCCGGGGACATATGTACCCCCCTGCCCCCGGTCGCTACGCCTCTGTTTCTCTGCTGAGATAGAGATATTTTTTTTTTTACCAAAATAGTTTTGTTTTTAACGAGAAAGTGTTTTTATCCAGGTAGTTTAAAAACTTAGGCACAGTTTGATACCATCAGGGATTGCAGATGACACCATACTTCCTACATCGTTGGTGGAGAGGGAGGGGGGTGACACCCAGGGTTAGCCGCACGGGCCTCAACCTAAAAAAGGGGACGCTACTGACTTTAAAGTTATAGTCACAGTTGTAACACTGTATAAACGAGTTTTAAATAACTCACTTGAGATGTTCAGTGTAGATAGGTCAAGTCAAATAGTCGAGCTAATTCGACGGGTCATTGTGTCATAGGATTTCATAAGTATTCATCACCACTTAGCATCTAGTAGGCCTACTTATATTTGTGTTTTTAAAGGGGCCGATTATTTTTTTACGATTATGATTACAATTTTTTGATTACATAAAATTAATACATTATTGACAAAGGGACAAATAAGATATGGATATCACAAAGCATTCACAGAGAAGAAAATCAATTTTAGTTAGGGGTCGTCCATAAATAACGACACACTCGTAGGGGGGAGGGTCCGTAATTTTGTGACGGTGTCTGACGAGGGGGGAGGGGTTCAGATTGTGCGCCGTCACACTTTTGCATTATAAAAAAGCAATGTTAGAAAACGAATTTTAGCAGTTATTTGGAGTTTTAGAAAACACGTTTTAATAAATTGTAATAGGAATTAGATGCTCTATGTTGACAGAGTTCAGACAAGATTTTTTTAAAAAAATATCGTATGTTAAGAAAGATTGAACTGTAATTTTGAGGTGAGTTGTAGGTTGAGGTGTGACATCATTTTAGAGGGGGGGGGGGGGAGGGGGGGGCTGGCTTTGTGTGACGAAGGGGGAAGATAGAAATCGTTTAAAAAGCCTGACGTCATTTATGGATGACTCCTTAGCGTTTTTTTTTACTCATCATCAGTAGATTATTTCAGATCTTGCACCGGTACTAATCTAAAGATTCCTAATTAACAGCTTCAAACCGGAACATAAACAATGAACTATGCGGTGCTCGAGGTTCAAAGGTTTATTGTTGGATTTACAAGAACTGAGATGCCGAGAAGCGCGTGTTCAGTAACTGAGACCGTTTGACGATTGCTTTACGCTGGGCGTCGTCAAATTTGTTGATCTGTAGGTCGGAGTCACGGTCAAACGGACGCCGAGCCGGCTTTTCCTCCTTCTCTCCCCTCTCCTTGCGTTTCTTTTTCTCCTTCTTTTCTTTCTTCTGAAATAGAAATAAGCGGGGAAAACATAACAAAATCAATCATAGTGTGTGTAGACCAACTGGGTATTTTAAGAAGTTTACAGCAGAGAATACTTTAGAAGCAAGACCAAGGGACATAACTATAATTAGTCTGACAGCAACAGACATGTAGGGGAGAGAACTCGTAGTCCCATAAATTGCCATTGGTTAATTGGAAGTCAAGCTGACCCCATCGTATCAAGGGGTGGGGGTGTAGAAAAGAAAACAAAACATTACTGTTGTACAGGTTTTGGTTCCGACTTTCTTTTGTCAAGATATGAGGGGAAAAATGTTTATATTTAACATACTGTAATATACTTTTGATAAACATTTTGAAATTCCTGTGCAAAAACTGAAAAATCAATGCTTAGTGGACAAGAAAAAAAAAATTATATAGATCTACATCTACTGCTAACTTTTTAGGAAAAAGATATTAGTGGAACCAGTTTCTACTAGGACTAGAGGACAGGTGAAGAATTAGCAGCTTGCTTTTTAAGAAGAAATTATAATGGTATCCTCAATAAAAATGTTCTACTATTTAGACTACAGCACATATTCTGTACTGCTCCTGATCGTATGATATAATAGGAGCACAACACCATTATGATTAGCGTTTGTTCTAGACTGCAGCCAATGAAGGACCACAACACCAGTATGATTTGCCTTATTTCAAGACAACTTTATTGATTTGTGTTAACATAATTCTGACAATAATTGCACAAACAACATCTGAAATAAAGATGGATAAATAAACTTGAAAGAAAAATAATCTATGTCTCACTTGGTTGAATTGTTGATACAAGAGTTGGCATCCCACACAAAAAAAACTGTCAATGTCGGAGATAGAAAAATTGACCACAACAACAAAAAGGACTCTGAGTTGTATGACAACATACTAGTGGCAACGTATAGATATATTCTCCAAGTTCACAATTTAATGTACAATATCATACCTGAATTTAAAAAAATAAAATATAAAACAATTATTGTAGTTAAAAAATACAATGGTAGCAGCGACCTACTTTGTTTTTATGATATAAGCCTTCTATTGTAGATACAATACAAAAATATATGCACATGCAAATAAAAAAAGGACCATTGAAATAAATGTATAGAGAAGAACCAAGTTGTAGGCTAAATACCAATATGCACACATGTATAGAGAAGGGCCTTACGGAATTGATACAAATGTTTCAAAATCAATCACTTCACAAACCAACAAGGAAAATATGTATTTTAAAAAATAGATTAAATTTGTTTTTCTAGTTACACTACAAAAAAACATGAGCAAATGGAAAGTTCCTGTGTAATGAAATGCTTGTTACATTCATCAAAAATTAAAACCAAGGGTCTATAATTTAAGAATTTATGCCAGATGTTAAGTCTTTTATTTGGTTGTGATTATTATAAGGTTACAGCTTTTCACAAGTTCTTTGCTTAAACTACAAGTAAATTCAGATGCTTCTGCTTTAAAAATGGTTCCTTCATAAATGTATACATCTAAAAAAATTTAAAGTCAAATCAATTGACTCCAAATATAAAGACAAAAATAAAAAGCTAAGATCCACAAGTTATACATATCACTAGCATAAACTTTGTACAAAAGCCCACACATGTAAAAGGTTAGGAAAGAATAGAGTGGAGAACCAAATGCCAGATTTGTGATAAAAAATACTTCTAGCCTCGTAAGAACAGCGTACACTGATTTATTGCTACAGATAACATCCCTAAACTTAAAGATAATTATTCCACTTTGATCATAGATATACATACCACTAAAAATTGTACATATAAAAACACTAAGGTCACTGACCTTTTACTTGATTTACAATTATTAAACAAAGCTACTAGAAAAAGTTGTTAAAACTAATAAGTAACAGGTGAAGAAAATGATATAATGGTTAAAAGTCTTTTCAAGATTAAAAAAAAAGGTATGATTATAACAGTTAACACTTTATAATTAAACTAAACATGAAGGTTCAGTTTAGGAATTCCAAGTAAAAAAAATATTAAATCATATATAAAGGTATATTACCGCTTTTATGTAAAAACCCCAGATGATTAAAACGCTGATTTGCCTTATAATTTGTTACATTAACCACAAATTATGTTGTATCACCCCAAATAACCACAACACAAAAGAAACACTAGCAGTTCTATGTCTTTTATACATGCTAAGCTACCAAGTATCCAACAATATAAATCATTGTCATCTCAAGAGATGGAACTCTTAACTGTGGAACACATACATTTAATGGCTTAAAATAATTATATCCAGAATGAATACATTAATTACATCAATAAGAATCTAACTGATTGTATTTACAAATTGAACACAATAAATATAAAAGCTATTTACAATAAAAACAACACAATAACATGTCACTATATATTCAGAGCATGTTCTAGAAAAGGATATGAACGGCCAGAGGATATTTTTTTTAATCAAAAGGCTTATTTAGAATGAAGGCAATTTAACAAGATCTAGAATAATCAATTTGGACTATAACTTGCCTAAAAAATACTTGAAATGTAATTTCTAAATATATTTGAAAATTAAAAAAGATATGTTTAAAATTGATAACCTTAGTTTTAAAAGAATCATTCCCATATTATGCCGATAAAAAAGAAAATTATGAAATGATAAAAATTGTGCACAAAATATTCCTTTACCGATCAACAATTACCAAAGATGATAAATACAATGCCACATTTTAAAACTTGAAACTAATTTTAAAACCAAAATTATAACATGAGCTTTAGAACTCCTGCGTATAATTATGTATCACTATAGCAGCCTACAATTTCTGATAAAAAAGTAAGTTTACAAAGATTAATTTAAATATACAATTTTTTTGTCTCTTACTTGGTACAGCAACAGGTAAATCAGGTAAATGCAGTTTTGTTACTACCAATTAACAAGCTATATACAGTCATCGTTAAATTTCAAAATAATTTTAAGTATATAATATTAAACTTTCTTCCTTTTTTTGTACGAGGCTAAAGAAAATGCAATGAAATTTAGTGCAGTTCTTGATTTAGTTAAAGAATTAAAAACAGTATGATATTGATTAAACAACCAGACATTTAAACATTTTAAGAATTATTTCATCAATAGTTCAATATAAAACTTATTCGGTAATAAACTATAGAAATAAGCGAGCAATGCACAATCTTGTTAAAACAAAATGATTTACACCTATTTTAAAATGATCCCAATACATTTAACAAAAATCACATTGGTATACATTTAAAAAGACCAATCAACACCACAGTCTTGGCTTGACAAACAAATACCACAATAAATAAGACAGAAATAACATAATTATTCCAGTAAAAGGAGAGAATCGCTTGCTTGTAAAAATTTCTCAAAACATAAATTCATCTAGTCAAGTCAAATTCATCTGCCCAGTCTTCATATGTCACTCTCCTGGGCATTAAGCTAGTAAATCAAACATGAAATACTTCAGTTTCTAGAAACAACCATTTTTGGTTTTGTTACTTCAGGTATTTGTAGAAACATTATGCAGAAAGAAAATGGAGCAAAAATGAACTGCTATTCCTACACCACAATCAACAGCTAGGGGGGTTTAATAAATCACAGTTTGTAGTCAAGTTATTGTTCTTGCCACAGCTATTTAAAGTGTCTACACACCCCAGGGTTCTTTCCTTCCTTTTGTTTGTCATTAATGCATCATAATGCTGTCTGTAGGCAGCTTGTCAATTATGTTATTCACATCCACTATTTTATGGATCCAATTGTAGATCCTTCTGAGTGCATCATTGATTCTATCAACACAATTCTTCCAAACTAGGCGCTCTAGTCTAGGGTTGTCAACTACACTTGGTGGATACTTCATTACTAGATAGTGAATAGCAGCCATCTTAGCTGGATCCAGAGCTTTATTTTTGTTTTCCATTTTCTTACCATTGATGTAGAAAACACCTGAAACATTGCGGTCATACACCTCTCCCAGTGTAAAGATACGAAACACAAGTTCTTTCGCTAAGCGCTCTCTACGCCCTTGACATGCAGATTCTGCCTCTTTTAGTACTGTTGAGCAGATGCTTATTTCAGAGGTGCCAATGCTACGGACTAGAGGCTTCCGTGTTGATGACATGGCAGAAATTATCTGATCTGAACTCATGTTTTTCTGGAAATCTTCAACCAAAATCTCCCAAAACCTAGGATCAAGAATGACTGTCTTAGGATTAGACGACGTGTTGGAAAAGCGGGCATTGGGTTCCTTGCTACTTCCAGGGCCAAGTTCAAACTTCTGGTTCTCATTTCCTTCATCGTATACAGTGACGGCTATACCGCTCTGGCTGTCTACTATAGGGACATTAATATCTGAAGTTGGAACATTAGCATTACCCAACACAACAGGCATTAACTCCTGCTCTGAAGGCAACTCCTGAACAGTGCTGGATGCTGTTTCTTGTGTGTCGCTCGGGCTTGGCGCTTCCATCATGGCCTGCCCCTGAACCATCGAAACAGTTCCAACAGGTATGAAAAGATCAGAGTTGGAATCGCTGCGCTTGAGCTCGTCCGTTGCTGTGTAGTCAGAGATGGTGAGGTAGTTGGACAAGGCAGCCTTCAGACTTGCTTTAGTGACTGCAGCATTGGTGTTGGTGGTGTTGGGCATGACAGTCGTGGTTGATGAGCCTGGGATGATGGGCTTTGGCTTGGTTTTCAGATTCTTGTTGGCTGCGTTAGCAACGACGGAAACAGGATGAGGAAATAAATGAGTTTCAATCCTCTCTACCCTCTTGTTCAATTCAAATAAGACAGCCTGTGAATCTTTGACCATATTAATCATCTTATCCATTTTGGCACACAACTGAATGAATGCCTGTGGCGTAACATTCGCAGTGGATGTCTGGATTTGTGGAAATAATGAGTGGACAGGGGGTAGAACTAGCGACACCTGAGGCATGTGCCCTCCGCTAGTCTGGATTGGAATTCCGGCTTGAGTTAGGAGATGCTGCTGCTGAGCCTGTGGTGCAGGCTGGATTTGTCGGGTTGTTTGAATCTGTCTCTGCTGGCCATCTGATGTAGTGAGTACGACACTCTCACCCGTTGTCAGCTGCCCATCTTGTGTCAACACAACATTCTGTCCCAGAGCTTGCTGTAGGTTTTGCTGGGTTAGGACTATGTTATGTCCAAGCTCATCCCCTTCCGCTTTCACAATGAAATTTCCAGACATGGTCTGCTGACCTGGAGCAGCTATAACAATATTCTGACCATGATGAGCTCCATGGGAATGAATGACATAGTTCTGCCCCGCTTGTTGAGTGTGGGGTGAAGCAATGATCATGTTCTGACCACCGGCCAGTGAAAAGGTAACCACTTGACCACCTTGCTGCACAACAGCAGACTCGGCACTCACTTGCGCAGCATATGCTTCAGCATAGTTCTGAACCTGCTGTGTGGTCATCTGACCTTGAGTGGCCACCTGAGCTTGAACCTGCTGACCGTTGACATCAATGGTCTGGGTCTGCTGCTGATTGTTCTGGTTTGCAGAATTGTCCTGGACTTGATTTGAAGCTACCAGGGTCACATTCATGTTCCCTGCCAACTGGGCTGGAATATTCTGTTGGTAAGAGTTAGTACTTGAGATGACCTGACTGTAGGCTGGGGTAGATGACATTTGCTGGGCATGACTGTATGCTTGGGCAATCATTTGACTGCTCAGAGCTGGCTGGGCCTGGGAGAAGGTCACACCTTCCTGGCTGTAGCTAACCACATTGGGATTCATCAACAGGTCAGCTAGGGGTTTCGCTTCATTATATTCTCCATTGTTAAACTCGTTACTGTAAAATTCATTGTTTTTCTGCTCTGTTAAAAGGTCCAAAGATTCTCGGATTTCATCTGACAGCTGGAAATATTGCTGCATGTGTTGCTGTTGTTGTTGCTGCTGTTGTTGTTGTGGTGCTTGACCATTTGTTACTCCTGGCTGTGCAACAGGGGCTGGAGCAGTAGTAGTAGCAGGAGCCGCTGACTGTGTAGAATCTGCTTGTGTACTGGTGGCAGCAGCCAAATTCTAAAGGGAAAAAAATATTCTGCTAATATAGATGGAATGAAATTTTCTAAAAAATAATTTTTTATTAAATTTTGTATGTAATGCACCATTGTTTCATATTTTAAAAAATAGAACATTTTTATGTTGCTAGCTCACCTGAGGGCATATCAGCACAAAATAGTTTGACCATCGCAAAATAGAGAATATATCAAAGAACTTAAGCATCAGTTTGCCAGTTACTTTAAATAGTTCTTAAGTATCAATGATAAACAAATTGATACTTCAGCCGCAAAAAAAAAGGACCAAACTCCAAATGATATAACAGGATAAAATGTAGATATAGAACATTAATTTTCTTTTAAAATATGGAATTAAGCTATTTAATACTTCCATGTCTGTTAAGAACAATGAATAAAAAACAATGGTGCATTTGTTTAAAATATATTTATTTTGCTCTTAAACTAACTATCAATGTCACATATAACAAATTAAGTGCAACATTATTTTACTTAAAAATATTATGTATTGAAACAATGAAGAAATTCCTGCAAAGGATTACGCTAAATAAAAAAAAAGTTCTTAGAAATTACAAAAGAAAAAAAAGCAACATACAAAAGCAACACCACAAATAAGCACCACTGACACAAAGAAATGTACAAAAGAATCAAATTGAAAGACAAGGGAAGGTTTCTCTAAACAAAAATGGTAATTAAGATAATGTGTGGTTAGAAATACTGTATTTTAGAACTTAAATTTTTTAGGCAAAAGTATACAATTTATTACAGTATCTTTTATAAGCAAAAACACCTTTGGTTATACAGCAACATTGTAAGGCCAGGGACAGCCTGTATACTGAAATATTTGTATTATTTTAAAACTAAAATAGTTTTACTTTACTAGCAAAGTTTGGAATCAATATAGGTAAAAGCCATTTTGTTTTCAACTGAATATTGTAACAGAGAGAAAGAGACTAGCTGTTATTACTTTTGCACCACAAGGCACAGTATTTGTAAGAAAACCAATGCAATCATGCAGGTTAATTTGCACTTTTGCAAAAAAAAAAAAAAAAAAAAAAAAAACTTTTATTTCATGTCTAACAAGGGTTTAAACAGTATTCTACCTTTCCCACGACCGCTAGTAATGACAAGATTTTTTAAATGTATTCAAATTTTTATTTATAATAGTGTCAGGATACTAACCTTCTTTTTCTTTTGTTTTTTTGTGTGCATGTCCATAAGAGACTCTGGACGTTTAGATTTCTGAAATCAAATGACATCCAACTTTAAACAACATTTAGTTAGCTAAGAACAAAAACTGAAAACCATGAGTATCTGCTTTTAAGCTCTGAAGTAGTCAATAACAAACCTAACTAAATGCACTTTATTCGTCAAGCATATGTCTCTAGCAATAATGGTTTTCTTTTGATAATTGATTTGTATTTACTTACAAATTAATGATTTTAATTATATCACAAATACTTCATGTTTCTTCAGTTTGTTCATAATTAAAAAACAAATGACTGACCAAATCTAAAGTATCAGCAGCACGATTTGAATACACTATTAAGCTAGATATAAATAAAAGAGCTCAGCTCTAAAAGTTACAATTAAACTATCCTGACTTTCCATGGCCCATAAGTTTTGTAGCATTTAATTTTTAACATCCCTAACCACTCAGTAAACTGCAGTTTAGTCAGTCGTTAAATTTTGCATTTTAAATGTTTCTTGGTTAAAATAAAATAGAAGGTTCATACTACTATAATTCACAACATAAATGTTCTTGAAGGTTATAAAATTTTAAATCACAATGCTCTTGGAAATTTAATTTCAAAACTTTTAGCTTTGGCGGTTTATAACAGTGAGGAACATAACTGATATATCACTGGATATTTTATACTAAGCTATAAATATATCAAATATAAACAGTTTAATTATGATATAATTTCAAGTAAAGAGACAAATGATATAAGGGAGAAATAGAAGTTTGTAACGGACAGAAAAACAAACGAATAAAATTTGAAAAAATAAAAACTACCAAAATACCACTTATTAAATTTTCACAGACAGTATTTAGTAAGTTTTGAAAATAAATATATTTTAAAAACTAATAACAACATTTAAGACTTATTAATTTTTAAAAATAATGACTCTTTGAATAATGGAACAAGTAAATTAAATCATGACACTTAGTGAGGCTATGCTAAATGAATTAGAAAATAATTACTGTTGCTTTACTTAAAAAGATTCTAAAAGATAATTCTTTTTTGTTACGTACATACAATCATATTTTAAAACACTCAGTTTGGTATTTATTTACTCATGCTTTTAAAATCAAATCAAGACTATTTTTATTTGTCAGTGCACAAAAGAAATGAAATGTACTTTGAAAAAACACAACAGCAAGTCAAAACACCATTCAAGAAAAAAAAAAAAACAATTTCAAGAGCAAACTTACATTGTAGTCATCAACCTGCTGCTGCATTTGCTCATCCCGAGCCAAGGCTGCCTTATCTTCATCTCTTTTGCGCTTTTTGCCTTTACCCTCCTTTAAAAAGTAAGAGAAATCAATAGATTCAAGCAAACTTTCAAATAAAGCAACTTAACTTGCTCAAAAACAAACATTTAATTATTCAATTTTTTATGCTAGAGATTTTAAGTAAAAATGATATCTTAAGTTAAGCAATAAGTCCTACCTTTTCTTTTTTTATCATAGGTGTGTCAGTCCAACTAGATCTATCTTTATTACCATCTTGTGACCCTCCACCTTTAGAAAATGTTCTACTCTGAAGACCATAATTCTTCCCCATTTCAGGTGGCAATTCTGTCATCCATTCTTCACGCTTACTTGGACCTTCTTCAGCTTCAGCCTACAAAAAGTTTTTTTAAAATATTTATTTTTGTTTTAAAATACTTATTCATTGGATAATGAAAAAGCCAAACTACAATACAAATATGGCTTAGCATCAGTAACAACTATATTCCAGAAACAAGTAATTGTATATGTCTTATACAATGATGTTCTACCTACCTTCACAGTTAGTTCCTCTTTCATTCTTTTAGACCGCCTTTCAAACTCCTGGGCTGCTTGAACCACATCCTCTCCCTCCTGACTCATTTCTGATGGCATAGGGCCTACAATGTCACCAGCCTGGGAAAAAATATTTACAACATTTTCTTACTAAAGTCCATAAATCTGTTAATAAAAGGAATAAGAAAGCAATCAGTCTAATTCAAATGTTATCAGTTATGTTAAAGAGTTATATGATGTATTTATATTTTATTGCATGAAAAGCAAAAAAAACAAAAACTTACAATAACATTTTAAAAATACGTAAGGTTAGAAAATAATCATGAAATGTATACTTATGTAGAAAAACAAGAAAATAAAAGGTACTTATTATATGACATTGATTACCAGTCTTTACTAATTCTTGATTAAAAAAATGTTCTATTTAATTAAAAAAAGTAAAATGGCCATAGGAACAGCAGTAATATTTCATTAACTGCATAATCAAGTTAAAACAATTATGCAATGTTTTCTACAACTTAACATATCAAGGTAGCTACTTTTCAAGTACAAGGTACCAAAGCTATTTAAACCTTAGAAATTAATGTAATAATGGTAAGACCTGGTTGTCTCCCTCATCATCTTCATCCTCTTCTTCATCATCATCCTCATCATCTTCTTGAATAGAATATTCTGGCGACATCCCAGACTCCATTTTCACAGTGAGCTGGCCTTCATCACTTAAATCTTCACTGTCAGAAGACTTCTGCATACCAGGTGGACGGCTAGGACCCAGAACCCTGCTCTTTTTCTTAGAAGAGCTCTGAGCACTGCTTTTTCGCGTTGTTCTAGTTGTTACAACCATACCTAATGGTAAAAAGTCAATCTGTAAATATTTCTCATGTATTCTTTCTAAAGATTCAACCAATGCACATAATCAACTGGCTTTGAGCAAGGTCTCATCTACTCTGCAAAGCTTCATATACTATAACAGCATGCCACAACCATTATAAAACAAAATAAGGTATGTACAAAGAACAACGACGACTGGAACATAAGTTGAATTCTCACTGGATGTTTGTGTCTGCTATTTTTGTTTCTGAAAACATCAAAAGAGGTCTGATCTTCTTTTTCCAACTGTTAAATTTCATTTGGATAGAACAAACAGTAATTGAAGAGACTTGGATATCCATCTCAAAATATAGTCAATTTCTTTACTCCCCATTAAAAATGGTAATTGAATAGGTGTTTAGCTAAAAACTACACTGGGCCTCACACATGCAAAAATTATATTACACAAATATTATTTGGGCATAAACAATATATGTATATATGCGTATAAACTGAGTCACCAGTTTAAACAAAACATGGGTAGCTTTTTAGCGACAGAAATCAAATGTCAAGAAAGATCTACTTTTTATAGTGTAAAAAGGTACAAATTAAATTTCTAAATATGGCCATTTTAAAGAAAATTATCTGCGTGAATATATACATATTGTATCTAATGTTACTAGTGACCTACCTAATTATTATTAAGGTATAGTAAAAGTAAAAAACAAAATGTATAAAAAAATTAATAAAGTACATGCAGTATTACATATAGTTCAAGAAAATAATCAAAAACAAAAAATCATTACATTAAAAAAAAGTTCCATTTCCAAACGATGAACAATTCTAATTCTATGAAAAAAGCTACTCACAATGAATAAACACTGCTAACAAATAATATATTTTTGCTAACTAATACATGTCTTAAGTGAATATATCGGCCCTCCTGAAAGTCAGACTATGCTGGACACCCACCCCACCATGTTCACAGAAGCACAATTATTTTGATTTATAAAAGTGGATCACTCACCTGCCGACCCTTAGTAGCTTGGATACTTTTCATTTAGCTGTACGGTAATCATAACAAGTGGTATCGCTAGTAGCTTGTAGAAAATAATGATTATTTTTAATACACCGAGTTAAATTCAGCAGATGCAACAACATTGTTAAAATCCATCAAAAGTTTTAGGTTTTACATTAAAATAATATTTCATACAACTAATGTTCCGATGCATTAACCCAAAATTTAACATGAGCACCAGCTGAAGTTTATTACATCCAATATTGTTGCTGATTTCTAATTTTACAAAATAATTGTTCCACAACTTTATATACTTAATTTTGCTTAATAAATACCCTCAAAAGGTTTGGTTTTTTTTTAAACTTCAAATTTAACATAATAAGCTACTAGGGTTATCACCATCAAGAGGAAGCTAACCTAAAAGTACCCTAAAACTAGAGCAAAACCAGCAAAAGCAACAAAATAATAATTGTATTTATACTAAAGGACTGTCACAACATTTTCTGAAAGTACTTTTTTGTAAAATTCAAGTGGTGATGAACATCCCATGATTTATTTCCTTCCCTCCCCATAACCAATTATTTTTTTAAACTACTAATTAAACAATAAATAATTGGTGTTATGAAATGAGTGTGTTGCTTGACCTACATTTCTAAAATTAACTGTGCCTTGGTAAAAATGTATGTAGTTAAGATCAAGCTTTGTTCTACTTCCTTTACAAAGTTTCATGGTCATTTAAAAATATATTCTTTAATTAGTTTTATTTAGCAAATTTTATAACAATGCTGAATATAACAATTAATGATTAGTGTTAGTCATTCACTTTCCATATGCAGTTTATTCGTTCAATATGTTGTGCATAAAGGAGCTGACGATAAAGTAAGAACTAACGCCTCATTGCGTGATACATTTTTTTGTATGAGATGCTAAAAGTTTGCTTTATAATAAAAAAGTTTATGCTTCTCTGTAATAATTTCAATCATAAAAAAAATGTCCTAACCTTGGAGAAAATTTCACTAACTTTATGGTTAATTGGGTCACAACAACTTGTATCAAATTAAAGGTAAACAAATGTAGATGTTATTGTTTAAACCTTCTTAAATAATAATGAAGTTTAAAATAACATGCAACAGCCTATTATAAATAATGTATTATAAAATATAATGGTTCACTACTGTCACTGTTGTTTTATCTTTAAATACTTATTTTCTACTAGTACTATCTAGACCACTTGTTGTGATAGCTGTACAGCTAAGGGAAGAGGGTACTATTAGGTTAGACATAAGTAAATCTTGTGGTAGTGGGAAATAATTGTACTTGCATACTAGAAAAGAGCTATAATAGTAGATCTAATAGCCTCTGAAAATGTTATCTAAAAATAATGAGTGCCTTTTATATTAGGAATATATGGTATACCAACCCAGTTATACATTAACTCATTATGCATAGAATAACTCTTTAAGTAGGTGTTCTGTACAGCATGACTGCAAGAACTACAAATGACAATAGTTATATTTTTATAAACCTAATGCCTAACCCAATAAACACCATATAAGAAAGTCAAGGCTGACTACATTTTTCAAACCAAATAGTGATCATTAAAAGGGTGTCGCTGATTTACATAAATGTGCCTTGTATACAACTGAAATATAAATGTGTTGATTCACAATGCAAAATATAAATTTATTCATGGGTTAGGTAGATTTTTTATAGTATTATAATTTTGTTATTAACTTAATTAGGTTATAGCTACAAGTTTTAAGTTATATATAAAAATTACTATTCAGAAACATAATATACCAGCAGGAAATAAACGCCACTATAATATAAAAGTCTCAGATGGGTTTAATAATAAACCTTTTTGTTAAAATTAATTTCATTATATAGGCCTAGCTAAGTATAATATTAATAGGCCTAAATATAAAACATTTTAAAAAAATTAGAAATAGTAACAACAGAAGTTGTCAGCATTGCCAAGTTATAAAACAAAAGTATTGCAACCCTGACTAGTAATATGGAAACAGAGGCAGGCTTGCCTACTATAAATAGCTATGTTCTCATTGTTAGCCATATTTTTAGAGATACTGAATGAATTAGTTTTACCAGAGTCTAAAAGATGCCTTTGTTTTTAAAATGCAAGATAAAATTTAAAAGTTTAAATGCTGTCCTCACTCCCGATTAATAACAAGCTTTCATAGAAATTTAAAAAATTAGGCTATAACCCTGCGGATAAAAAGTGACATATTGGGGAGTACAAATTTTAACCCAATACAAAAAAAATAAACCGGGAGTGATCTCCCCTAAACTTTCTTGAATATTCTTATATAACTTGGAATGTAGACATGATTTTTAATTACTTAAACTTTTAAAAATAGAATAGAATCTCATAGAAAAAAACATTGCGCACCAAACAAACGCCGAAACAAAATGTGCATAATAGTGCGCAATATTATTAGTACTTTAAAAATTTACATTAGTTTTTTGAGAAATCGGAAGTAGCGTAAATTACTACTTCCGGTCAACGGAAATTACTCAAAATTTAACAGAAGGTAGAGAATTAGATCTTTTACTTACATGTGAAATTTCATTTATCTATCTGAAATAGTACTCAAGTTATAGGCTTTTGAAAAATTCAAAGTAGAAAAAGTACCACTTACGGTTGTCGGAAATCGCTCAAAAGTTGATACGGATCTACGATTTTGATATAATACTTATATATGAAATTTCATCAACCTAGCTGTAACGGTACTCAAGTTATCGTGTTTACACACAGACACACACAGACATACGGACAAGATTGCAAAATTATGTTTTTCCGTATCAGTGAGGTGTAAAACGTCGAGATTTGTAAAAATCTCTATTTTTTTTTTTGCACGATTACAATACTTTCTCTATACTACGTATATACGAGAAAGTAAAAAAAAGGCATAAAAGATTGTTTTTTAAAAAATTGCCTTCATTTAGGATCAAGATCTGCTAGATAGACAAAAAACATGGATTAGTATTCGGTTTAGGTGGTGGTTAAACTTCAGTTCTATTCTGAATTAAATTTATTGGCTTTTTATCTTTGGTTTATAAAAATATGGAATTATTCAATACAAGCTTCACCATAAGCATTAGAGAAAAAATTTCCACAATTGTTCAGCACCGTACATCAGAAGCAAAAAAATTGATGCTTTTTGTTAGCAAAAATGCAGATCTTAAATGTAGTTTAATCTAGACCTAGTCTTGCCAAAAAGAGCCCAAAATAAACGCAATTTTCTGAAAAGCTATAGGGCCTATTATATTTTTTTTTACAAAAGTGACTACTCGGAAAAAGATTTTTCTCCCCAACCACTTAGTCGACAAAAGATAGTTCTGCACATGCACAGTGACCTATGGCTAAGGTTAGGGTTTGGGCTAGGATTTGGGTTAGGAATAGGATTAGGGCTAAGGTAAGGGCTAGGATTAGGGCTTAGGGTTAGGGTTCTGCGGTTGTAAACACACGCAGGCGCAGTACCATTGAAACAATCGCCACCATGGCAAGTCGTAGTTTATCTCCATTGCGCATGCGTATCTTTTATTCGGCTAGCATCAGCCTTTTTTTATATTAATGAACGGTAGTGGGTAGCAGGGTTAAATAGTCTAGATCTAGAATCTAGTATCCGTTTCTGAAAAGCCAACTTTCATACCATTATTTTTCCATTCCTCTTTAGTTAGCCCACAAACTATTTTCAGTTATTATGCCTACCGCCCTACCCCTATCTTGAACTCATCTAGAGATCTAGCTAGATTACACAATATTCAATATAGAATCTAGATCTAGAATCTAGATCTATCTGGTAGTCTTGTGGAGAATCTAGATTCTAGATAGAATCTATAGTAGAATCTATATATTAAATTATATTAGCCTCTAACTAGAATCTAGATAGTAGTAGATACTAGATACCCTATCTATCTTTCTTACTAAGTCTACATCTAGATTTAGATCCGGAGAATCCTAGATTCTAGATATTGCTCTCCCTTTATGACACTTTAATAATATGACTTTATCAATTTAATGAATTTATTCACTGCACTGACACTCACTGATCTGTCCGATAGGGTTTCGATGGAAGCTTTTATTTTGATAAGGCCAAGATCTAAGGGTGTGGGGAAACTGCGAGACGCGAAAAGCGAAATGGCGAGGCGGGAAAATGCGAGAAGGGCGCGAAAACGGTCGGTCACGTGACTTTTTTGTCTCGCATTTTACCACAAGCCGATACTTACGCTGGGTGGTGTTGAAATGCGAAGATTTCTGCGAAAAATTTACCGCACCCGATTTTCAGTGGTATTTGGTCCAGATTTCAAAGACGTTTCGTTTACATTGTTAAAACTTCCGATTTTTCCGTCGCTAGACATACTGATGATTTGTCAACTCCCCCCATCTTTTGTGTCGACTTAGAATACCACCTTGTTCGAAACCGACGGAAATACCGCCGACGATAGATCAACTTCTGTCTTTTGTGTGGAACGCCGAGGCCGCCTGAATTACCGTCTTTGAAGATCGCCGTGCCCGGACCCGCTGCCGCCGCAAACATATTTTCTATTGTTGCATAGAAATTTTGTATTATAGCCGCCGGCTACGATTTTTTTCTAGCTTTTTTTTACCATATAAATCTAAGCACAAGGAAATGCCTACATCATTTGGATACAACAAAATAAAGTGACGTCACCGATATTATCAGTTGCTCGTGCTATATCGTAAGCTATGGGCCTACTTCAAATATTTTTAAAACCAAGTTGAACTTATCTGATTTTTTACAAGCTTTTATTTAACTCACTTCCTCTGTCTGTCGTAAGTCTGTCTTGACGGAAACGCAGGAGTGAAAATTCGGACAGTTCTACTTGACCGACACGATTCACAGTTGGCACGTGGGTCAAGACATGAAGACAATGCAATCTGAAACTAAATTTGACTTAATTGGATGCCTAATTGATTTTTTATGAATTAATTAAAATTTGGACCGAATTAGTAGGCATGTCTAGCCAACCACACCACACGCGTCATCAATAGCTGCGCCATCACGACCACGTAATGGCTGCGTTCAAAAACCATTGCGCGCCTACTGAACGTGATATTCAGTAGGCGCGCAATGGTTTTTAGTCATGTAACTCTATTGTAGATAAAACATGTAAAGTACTGAAAAAAAATTCATAAAAAACGTTTTAATAACAAGCTTTTATGTAATGATGCACTAAAAAGTAGAAAATAAATTATAGACTACTATTTAAATAACTATAAAGAAAAGCGTGGGTGTCTTCCTTAACATTAGTAAAGGTATCCAATAGATACTAAAGTGACCCACGCTTTTCTTTATAGTTATTTAAATAGTAGTCTATAATTTATTTTCTACTTTTTAGTGCATCATTACATAAAAGCTTGTTATTAAAACGTTTTTTATGAATTTTTTTTTGGTTTTGGTGGTGGTGTTATTTGGGGTCTTCCATAAATGACGTCACACTCGTAGGGGGGGGGTCTGTAATTTTATGACGATGTGTGATGAGGGGGAGGAGGGGGGGGGGTTAGATGTGAAGTCACACTATAAAAAAGCAAAGTTAGAAAAAGAATTTTAGACGTTTTTTTGCGTTTTAGAAAACTGTTTTAATACATTGTAATAGGAATTGATTAAAATACTCTATTTTGACCGAAATTAGACAAGATTTTGGGAAAATATCGATGTTTTAAAAAAACTCAACTGCTGGTGACAACAATGAGCAAGACATTGCCAAAATAACAGAAATGAGAAAAAATACAAATTATAAAAAACGGAAAACAGACGTTGAGCGTGCGGATGATGATGATGAGAACATGGGTGCCAGTGTTGTTTGTGGGATGAACGAGGAGGTCAACTGTGATGAGAATGTGAAATGTTGTGAATGTGGATTGGAAGAAGTAGCAAAAGAAAAATGTATAAATGGGAGTCTAATGAACTGGGTTGGGTGTACTATGTGTGAAAGTGGTGTCACTAGGCGTGTTTGAGGACTGTTTCAGAAGATTTTGTTTTTAAATTTTGTTTGTAATTAAAATTACTTAATAAAAAAATAAATTGCACTTTTTAGAATTGTTTATACTTTTACACTTTTTGCAAGTACAAAAATCCATAAATAGATGTTGCAAAATATCTCTCCTGCTGACAAGATTATACCAATTCACAATGACACAGCTCACGTTTGTATAAACATGAGCGGGCTAGATTTTTAAATTAATGCCGACTGAGACGGGATTTTCCTCTCGCTAACAAGAGCGGGCGATGACAGTAGCACAGCAACGATGTTAGGATTTTTAAATAGATAGATCTAGATATCTAGATATACAACACTCGTGTTAAAGGGTATGGCTAAATGCTTGTTTATTTTAAAACAAAAAAAATGTAAATAAATAAAGATGGAAAAAAAAGGAAAAAACTTTTTTCGCAAAAAGTGTCTCGCTATTTACCCTTAATTCCGCAGGTGTGTCTCGCATTACCTTCTCGCATTTTCCCGCCTCGCCATTTCGCTTTTCGCGTCTCGCAATTTCCCCACACCCAAGATCTAAAGCGTTTAAACCATAAGAAATTCAGGGAGAATACCTAATGCAGAAGAGGTCCGATTTTTCTATCGTATCGCAATAGAAAATAATAAACCAGAAATTAAAAGTAGACTAAGACGACTAAGAGAAGCTGTCAGTCAGCACACCAACTGCGGCGACGCTTTCTTGACCCATAACACTTATTCACACAATCTTTTTACCTGGGGGTAATTTCGGTCCATATTGATCTCCACTGTCCATAATGGGTTTCTGAGTTATTGTTGCAAATGAAATCTAATTTATTGACTGCAATTAACCTTTTATTTTGATACATTTTAAACCAAATTTAACAAAGGGTTAACGGCACAAAAGCGCCATCTTTGATTTACCTATACGTAGGCGTCCTGTTACAGCGTATATGATTGGTTTATTCCAGAAAATAAACCAATCAATGTAAGGCTTTTACAAACATAGCGGTAATTATCTAATGGTATGGAGTCTGAATATTTCCGGTTTATTCCTACAAGTTGTCTAAGCCCTAGGCCTAGCCTAGTTTAGATCTAATGTTCTAAATAGATCTAGAATCTAAATCTCTAGATCTAGAAATCTATAACGACATCGTTGTAGAGAACACTAAGTCTAAGATCACTTGACAGTATTACTACTAGGCTAGCCTAGATCTAGAAATCTATTTATCTTGTGAGGGCCTTATAATAGATCTACACAAAGTAACACATTTACAATCATGCCACCCAAACCGAAAGGAGGTGGTGGCGCAAAAGGAGGCAAAAGTAAAGGTGCTGATTCGGGAGCAGAGGGTGAAAGCAAAACTTCCAAAGGAGGCACGGCTGTGAAGGTGTGAAAAACAAAAAATGAAATAAGTAAAAGTAAAGAACCCTCGGGAGGATATTTATACAGATGTCTGATAATGGAATCTTCTTTAAAAAAGGGGTGTTAGTTAGCACATAGCAGTGTTAGGTTACTGGTAACTGGTAGTTAACTAAAATTATAAATAATAAATACACTTTACACACATGGCTGGCTAATGTCAATGCTAACCCTAACACACCAACCCTGGTCCTACCATATGCCTAAAATTTGTAATCATAAAATTTGTCGAGATTACAATACTACTATTTATTAGATATAGGTCTAGATCTATTATCTATATACTACTAACAACCCAACACACCTATTTTATGGAAGAGTCTATTGTCGGACACCGGTATCTATAAATAATCATCCGAATCCACTTTAGACCTAACGATCCATTGGGTAGATTAAGTAGAGTTCATGTTTCTTGACCTCGGCATATATTATGAAGGGAAGGTGTGGTCAGCACTACTGACTTGGACCCTGATTTGAACTCGACACTTTTGGGTTAGCAGCCTTGCACTCTACCGCTTAGGCCACGCTGCCAAAATAGGCCTATGGACGAGAATTTTTTAATTTCTTATTAGTGTAGTCTGTGGATTTCTTATAATCCAATAGTCGTCCGGTGCTAGAGTCTTGTCGTGGCCTGGTAGCATGTAGATCTATATCCCAATAACCCCTAGAACTATACCAGTGGGAGTATAAACTCCTTTAGGGGATAGGGGTCAAACCAAAGCTAGCATCCTGGTTTTCCAGGTTGGGGGTTGAACATAAGACTAGCAACTTATTTCATAAAAAGAGAACCCTCCACTGAAACCAAAAGTGAAAACCATATAACTTTTAAAACCGGTGAAAAGGGAGCAGTTCTCCTAAGTATGACAGATGCAGCAGCCCCATGTGTCTTGGGCACAAAAGGGAAAAGATGATGAACTAACACCAACCCTAGCCCTACCATATGCCTAACCTTAATTTCTAACCATAAAACTAGACGAAATTACAATACTACTAACACACCTATCTTTCGAAGCCTAATATCCAATACTGGAATCCTCAATCATCAGATTTGATTAATATATTCATAATCTAGGACATAGGGCCACTGACAAGATTTTATTCAGACATCTCCGTGTTCTTTTTGGTGTCTTCTTCCAGGTCACATCTCCAGGTCTTTCTTGGTTGGCCTCTTTTCCTGAAGGCCTGTTTTGTTATGCAGGATAAAGCTTCCTGAGTGTGTGGTCAATATATCTCCATTTTCTCTGGATATATTCTTCTGCTGGCAGTTGGTTTGTACATTGTCATATTAGCTCATTTCTGATGGTGTTAGGCACGCGTATTTGAAGGATATTTCTGAGGCATGAGTTTATAAATTGTATTTTCTACTTATTTGTGGCAGTTATTCTCCATGTCTCATCTCCGAAGAGTAAAACATGTTTTACTAGTGTGTTCAAGACACAGATTTCTCTCTGTGTTTCTGTAGCGAGTTGTCTTTTTACAATCTAAGGTTACTGACCATATGTTCAAACCCTGACCAATAGGACCAGGTGCTAGATTCATCTGACCCCTACCCTGGCAGATCTTGCCAGCTTGGTTGAGCCTGTCGTCAGGAATTTACACTGCCGCTGGTACAGCCCTGGGGGGACTTTAGGGTAAACGAGCAGCCATGGCAAGGCCCTAGCACCATATAGCAGATTTAGTAATTAGGCCTACTCTTCTTCTTCTTTGTTCTTAATTTTAGTGTTGGAAGGATTTCCTCCAACACAATTAAGTATACAAGTCAACTGGTTATGCGCCATTGAGGCCATTGACTCTGATTTCAGCTTTTTCTTTTTGGCAGCAGTTTTTTTTATTTTGGAGTTGTCTCTCCTAGAAGAGTGGCTGTCCCCAGCTAACGAGCTTCATCTGCCAGAGGGTTCGAACTTGAGACTTTTCGGTTTAGCAACCATGAGCTTTACCAACTTGACCATGCTGACCCCCATTAGGCCTACTAAAATTATAAAATACTATGCACAATTATTTAAATGACTTTAGAGAAGTTTATTTAGTCTAGTTGATCTAGTAGTAGTCTATTGGATAAAGAGTATTCCTAGTTAAAATCTAGCATATTAGGCATCCTAAAATAAATAAAATTGCCAATGTACTAAGTCTTAACCATGATTTTCCCCGGACATTTTACTGTTACTATTATCCGATATTTTATTTATAATTGAATATTTTTCTGGGGGGGGGGGCGCATAATAGTAGTAGTAGTATTACTTATCTGCTAACATTTATGTACTATTTATGTACTAAATTATGAAAAATAACATAAATTAATACTGATTTTCAGGTTCGTCATATACTCTGTGAGAAGCAATCAAAGGCTTTGGAAGCTTTAGAGAAGCTTAAGGCTGGTATGAAGTTTAATGAAGTTGCAGCACAGTACAGTGAAGATAAAGCTAGACAAGGGGTGACTAATAATATTTTCTATTAGGCCTACCCATTTTTGTTTTAGCATTTTTGGGTTTACAGAGAACTGTTAATGTCAGTAATACTGGTGTTACAGATTTTTTTCCCCCCTCTACTTGACAGGGAGACTTGGGTTGGATGACTAGAGGCAGCATGGTAGGACCTTTTCAAGATGCAGCATTTGCCCTTCCCAACAGTACCACAGACAAACCACACTATACAGATCCTCCAGTGAAAACAAAGTTTGGTTATCATATTATAATGGTCGAAGGAAAAAAATAGCAGAAATTGTTAAAATGTTGGTATTTTAAAAGTTGTAATTGTACATAATTATTTTCTCCAAATAATAAAATGTTAAAATTAAATTGCTTTTTATCTTTAGTTTTTCCGAGACATTTTTAAGTACCTACCTTCTTAGCATATTAGCAGTTTTATTTGTATTTAGTGCAAGCATTTCAAATAAAATCAACAAACCATCTAGTGCAGTAGATCTGACCTTTTTGGAGGTACAGAACCCCACCAGCTTAATATGCACATTCACCAAACTCAGCACAAAATAAACTGCATTATCGCTGTGTTCAAAGAACAAAAGCATTTAAAACATGATTTCCACACAAAAACTTAATATTTACAGTATATCAGGAGTCTGTGTGGTCGAGTCGGTAAAGCTCATGGTTGCTAAACTGAAAAGTCTCAAGTTCGAACCCTTGGGCAGATGAGGTTCGTTAGCTGGGGACAGCCACTCTTCTAGGAGAGACAACCCCAAAATCCAAATACTGCTGCCTTGTAGTTTGTTCTTGGTTGGACAATGTGTTGGAGACATGATCGAGTTGGCAAAAGCTCGAATTCAAACCCTCTGGCAGATAAGGCTCGATCCCTTCCAACTAAAAATTAAGAATGATGAAGACATCTGCATGACTTCTGTTACCTTTCAGACACCAGTTCAGCAATAGACAGCTTCACAGTTGAGGGTTGTGTTCTAATACTTACCATCTCCATGCAGCTGAAGGAAGTGTGCTTTGTTGTATTGCAAATTATGCAGTTAGGATACTGACTCCCATTAAGTCTCTTCATACTTTATTGTAGGCCTACATATTTGTCTGACCCCTTTGTTTTTGCTCAACATTGTATGAAAGGATAAAACATTGAGAAAGATACATCATGTCAGTCACTAGTTGACTACTGGGCTACTATATGTATACATATATGTATACATTTTAAAACTGTTCATCTCTCCTTGATGCCCTAAAGGGAGCTACACTTTCAACAAGCACCTACCTACATAGTTACCTCTGACTTGTGACATAGGCCTATGTCAAAGATGTCACGATATAGAAAAATGATGATATCATCCTGCTCCGATGCACAATACAGAACATTGGGTCATCAGCCCCACTGACAAAATTAGATTGCTAATCATGAGTTGTTTTCTTGACTGCTGCCAAACCTATGGGACTCCCTCTCCAAACCCTGGGTTTTGACTGAACTTAGGTTAATAAACACTGATCTAGAGCAGGGGTCTCCAAACTTTTCAGCCAGAGGGCAGCATTAACTATCTAATTTCAGTTCGGGGGCCAGTTTCTTCCAGGCATGTCTTTAATTTTTCTGGGCAAGGTTCCTCAACCATCAGCAACAAACGTTTTTTCCGTGGACAAAAAGATCTCCGCGGGCCGGATGAGAGGACATCGCAGGGGCGCATCCGGCCCGCAGGCTGTAGTTTGGAGACCCCTGATCTAGAGGATTTGAAATTTAAAAAAAAAATACAGTACAAGTTATACCTGGAGATCAGCTGATCTGAATAATACTTCAAAGTGGTCTGTGAAAGATTCTTCTTTGCTACAAATGGGGTGAAGTTTATCAGCATAACAATTTCAAAAAATTACTTAACGAGTGTAATTGTGAATTATAATTTTTATTTCAAACTCACTAAAATTGCAATCAGCAGACATCCAAAAAAAAAAACATTTAAAATATTAAGTGTAAGCATTTTAACATGAACTTTTAGACCAAATATTTATCATTAACAGTTTTAACACTCAAAATGGAAGATTATATACGTTTAGTACTTCAGGTATAATTCTTTCTACTTGCATTTGAAAATTAAAAAGAAATGTTAATACACAAAAAAAAAGCGAGCTTACTTTAATAAAACAAAGGAATATTTTATCACAAAACAAGTCTGGAGTATTTAGCATTCCACTGCCAACCTTATTTTCCACAAGCTCTATGATCTAAGAAAAGCTTTTAAACGTGACCACAGTTAGCTACTACAAATTATGAAGAATAAAGGAATGTAATTAGATATTTTAGGTGACACTTAAAAAGAATAAAGCTTTCAAAACTATACAGACCATATTCTATTATCATTCATACAAAACATGTTTTAATTAGTTTTTTAAAAATTTACTTTGGAAACATATTTTGTGCCACAAATTTATCTTTAATCTTTACAGTATAGCATATAAACAGTAACTCAAATTATGAAAAATAATTTTTATATGTGATAATGCTAATTTGATCATTTCTTTTGCAATATGCTTATAATATAAATGTATTATCTTAGAGAGATAGTCAAATTCAACAGCAATGGTCAGGCTTACTTTTATTTACATATGCACTTGTTCAATTAACTTCTTCAATCATTCATGTAATGTAATACTATTGAAAGAAAGATGAAATTAAAATCATTATGATCAACTAGTTCAGTAAATATAAAGTTAAGCCTAATGATGTTGGGGTGTGAGGAAGAAAGATGATTTAAAGTTTTAGTGCAATCAAATGTTTCAGTACTTTATAAAGTTTTTAATTGTACAGTGTCAAATCTTACAAAAAATAAAACTTTGGCAATATGCTATTTCTTGATTTAAAATTTAAAGAACCTTGAAGTATTAACCTAGCCCATACATTTGAAAATTTGATACATTGTTATACCATACCAGAAATTATTCTTACAAGTTCTTATTTTAAATGCCAAGCTTTCAGTTAGCTGTTTTTAATTTAAATTTTTAAAACTTAACCAGGAATTTAAAAAACAAAAATTTGCACAGTTTAGTACAAAGGGAAAAAAGTATGAAAGTGATAAGACATTTCAAAGGCAGAATAACAATCAACCACAATAGTTCACTGCATTGTACCTTGTAATATAAACATTTTCGTCCTAAATTTAATTTGTTTAGATTCTGACTAGCAATATTTCTAAAGAGAAATGTTCATTTTTAATACAGATAGATTATTATATAAATGAAGATTTACTAATTTGAGAATAATTAAAGTAACATCTGTTCAGTTTGGTACATTATGTGATTTAAAACTATGGTTTCAAACAGTTCTAAGTAATGAACTTGCAGATTTAAAAATAGACCATAGATAATTAATTACATTTAATATCACTGACATTACCAGCATTATGGAAGAAATGAAGCCAAAAATTATTTATGTTTAAGATGTTAAATGTCAGAAACTACAAACTGAAATTCAGTTTGGCATCTAGCTATACCTAAAGTGTTTATGTTTCTATTTTCTTTAACTTTTCATTAACTTTTTCTGTCCAAAACAATTTCAGTTGATTACACGGATTCATAGCCTTGCTTGCGTGATCTCTTGCGCCCGATGAGGTAAGCAATCAAAACAATGATCACAAGCGCAGCTAGAGCAGCACCAACAGCTATAGGGACAACACTGCTGGTCTCTTCATCAGCCGAGCATTCCGAAACTGGTGATTACAATTTTTATTACACATTTGAACAACATCTAGGACGTGAAATATGTTAAATATATAAAAAAGATGACTGTTTAAAACATTTAAACAAGACTGAAACATCAAGAACAAATGCCAAGAAAGATTTTTAAACTAATGTGTATATTCATATCAGGGATATGTTGAGAGACTGCAAGTGCAAAATCAACAGTCAGGGGCAGGACAAAATGGTAAGTTATGGTTGAGGCCCTATGCTCAACAAGGAGTAAAAAGGGTCAAGTCATGTTTAAATAGCTTCCAGTTTGGAATAGATTTTGTAACATGCAACCATTTACAATTGTTAAGTCATTCTGAACTTCTGTATGATTATTTAGAGAGAAGCTGGAAATAAATGGGAGAGGGTGCAAATAAAACTTTGGGGATATTTTTTATTTAAATTTAAAAAATCCACATTGATATTGAATCGTAAGTCTGATAGATTGATCATAAAGTAAAATTTCAACAGATATGGTCTTACAGATCAAAATCTCTCACAATTTTAAGTGATTAAAGATAGAAGAAATGGCTCAAAATGAATCAAAGGTACAAATGAACTCCAGTGCTGTGAGACTTCACTTACAATCAGCTAGTTTTGAGCTTGGTTATGTTCATATTTTCTTGTATTGAACTAGTTTCAAATAATCTGCTATGGTACGAATTAGGTTCATTGTAAACAAGAGAAAATTAGACAAAACACCAGCTTTAATGCATCTCTAATTACTTAATTAGGACCTTAACTATAAATTCATTATTTGTTACCACTGTAAAAAAAGTCTTACCATTTCCACTCTTCAAATCAGCATTTTTATTGTCAGCATTGAAGGCCCGGTATTTCAAGTTTTTAGTGTACAGCTTCACATTCTGTTCAAGATTTGTAAAATATTTCAAAATACAGATTGAAAAAGAAAAACTTAATGTCTATACAATTTAAAGTACATTAAACATGTAACAATACAATAACAGTAAAACTTTTTAGCACATAATTGCAGTGCATTATTGAAACAAAGCTACATGAATTACCGTTCCAAGGTTAGTAGTTGATTTAGAATCACAGCGATAGTATCCATCAACCTTTGCCTTTAAGTCACTGCTAGAATATCTAAGTGTTTCGGTTTCTTGAGGGGAAAAAAACAACATGTGAGCTCATTTGCTTTTCAAATATTCAAATTTTCTTGAAATTTGCTGAACTAACTTTTTTTAACCCTTATATGACCAAGGTTGCAAGAGACTTTTTGTGTGCATTACATTCGGGTGCACTTGCTGTCTCCTGAGCTATTTATAGTATGTTTATTTATGCATAGAAATGAGCTTTTTAAGATACCGGCAGAAATAAGTTTTTTTACTTTGTTTTATTGTCCTATCAATAATCGTTAATTTTCTACAATCTTTCTTAAGAAATTTTTCTTCAAATTACGGGCAATATAACTAGTGAAATTAAATCTAATTAAAATGCTTCTGCCTTATTTATAATGTAACTAATACAGTGATATTGAAAAAGAAAGTAGCTCTTGTGACTACATTGAATTTTTTTTACCAATTCAAATACACTTTTGACAGAAATAATACAAGTAGAGTGTTGTTTAGGTTTTTCAGGGGATAGGTGTAATTTTTATTTATCATTTGTGAACAATTAAGCTTTTTTTTTTACCTCATACACAAAATGGTTTTATTTTTTTAAAACGCAAATGGTTATTTTTCTATTTAAAAAAAATTGTGCAGTGGTTGAAAAAGCAGTCTTCATCTGGCCGTAGAGAAAGTAAAAAAGTTTTGATGCCCTGGACGGTAAAGGGTTAAATAACAGTAAGATTTTAACTTAATAAAAAAAGATTTTCATATCTGTTTATAAATTTAAAAAGTTGTTTTCTGCAACTGCATAACCCAAGAAAATTATCTTACTGTTGGTAGCTTCTCCAGGGAAGTATTTTCCACCATGTGTATATGTGAAAGTGATATTGCTGACCCAGTACACATCCTTAGCACGCTCAATGATGTATTCCAGCACCCAGTCTTCATTGAACTGGAAACTAATTGTTTCAGTCATGTTGTTTGTACAATTCAGCTCAGATTTTGCGTCGGCCGGTACTTCAAATGTCTCAGTAATGTTCACTTTTTCCTAGAATTTAATTAATAATACAGAGGATTTATTTTTAAGGTATGTGTAATAATAAAAGCATTCGAGGAAAGCTAACAAACATGGACCTTGACAGTGGAGTTCTAAACCATACGCACATTTCTTTTTTTTTTTTTTTTTTTTTTACAATTTATGGATTATGAGTAAAAATAGAAAGATTACAATAAAAACAAAATTTTCAAGAAGGCATTTTGTTTTTAAAAGTTGCTGAAACTAGTGACAAACAAATATTCATAATAAATTATGAGCTTCCCTATGCTTCATAAAGGGATCCCACGGGAGTGATGATTATGACTTTAGTGTTGCAAATGTAGAGATATGAAATCTCCATTTAATAAAATACTTAAAAAAAAACTTTTTAAAAAACCACGTTTTTCTTGTGGACTAAAAAGTAGAAAATAACTATTTACATACATTTGATGACAAAAAACGTGGGTACGTTCACCATCAAATTTCCCGACCCATCTGCCCGACCCACGTTTTTTGTCATCAAATGTATGTAAATAGTTATTTTCTACTTTTTAGTCCACAAGAAAAACGTGGTTTTTTAAAAAGTTTTTTTTTAAGTATTTTATTTTCTCCTTTTTAGTCCGTTGCTACACATGAAAAACGTGGTTTTTAAAAAAGTGTTTATAAATACACGGACTAAAAATCTTGAGCGACCAGGATTCGAACCTGGGTTGTCGCGGCCACAACGCGAAGTACTAACCACTATACGATCACGGCCAGCGCGCTCACATCGATTGGGGTCGAAGTAACTGTGTCAATAGGCCTCAAGTGTTGTCGGTATCTTTAGAAATCATGTCCTCAATTTTATGGTCCTTGGGGCGTAATTAAATTAAGCTAATTACGGTCACTAATTGCTAGTTTTTATGATTGCATCTGAAATTGTTAGGCGAAAGTAGAATGCATGCCAAATTTCAGGTCTCTAGAGCAATCAGAAGTGGGCTAATTTTCGATGTCAATTTTAACAACAAACATCCAAACAAACAAACGCGAAGCTGAGTTAAGAAAAACGTTTTAAAAATACAAACAGCACGACTGACTTGGACAGCAAGAATGCAACAAATAATGGCAACAGAAGAAATAGAGTCATAAATAAACCGGTAGTGATCTCCCCTAAACTTTCTCGAATATTCTTATATAAAACAACAGGGGATGGTAACTGGGGATATAGTTATGATTTTTAATCCATTTTAAATACTTAAACTTTTAAAAATAGAATATAATCTCATAAAAAAAACATTGCGCACCAAGCAAACGCCGAATAAAAACGCGTACAATAGTGCGCAATATTATTAGTACTTTAAAAATTTACATTAGTTTTTTGAGAAATCGGAAGTAGCGTAAATTACTACTTCCAGTCAACAGAAATTACTCAAAATTTAACAGAAGGTAGAGAATTAGATCTTTTACTTACATGTGAAATTTCATTTATCTATCTGAAATAGTACTCAAGTTATAGGCTTTTAAAAAATTCAAAGTAGGAAAAGTACCACTTCCGGTTATCGGAAATCGCTCAAAAGTTGATACGGATCTACGATTTTGATAAAATACTTATATATGAAATTTCATCAACTTAGCTGTAACGGTACTCAAGTTATCGTGTTTACACACGGACAGACACACGGACAGACACACACACAGACATACGGACAGAATTGCAAAGTCCAGTTTTTCAGACTGGATTACGCATAAAACCTCTTAATTTTGATAAATCTGGATTGATAATTTTTGCCCGATTAAAATAACACAGGAAAAATGGGAATCACAAGGAACACAGGAAAAATGGGAATCACAAGGAACACAGGAAAAATGGGAATCACAAGGAACACAGGAAAAATGGGAATCACAAGGAACACAGGAAAAATGGGAATCACAAGGAACACAGGAAAAATGGGAATCACAAGGAACACAGGAAAAATGGGAATCACAAGGAACACAGGAAAAATGGGAATCACAAGGAACACAGGAAAAATGGGAATCACAAGGAACACAGGAAAAATGGGAATCACAAGGAACACAGGAAAAATGGGAATCACAAGGAACACAGGAAAAATGGGAATCACAAGGAACACAGGAAAAATGGGAATCACAAGGAACACAGGAAAAATGGGAATCACAAGGAACACAGGAAAAATGGGAATCACAAGGAACACAGGAAAAATGGGAATCACAAGGAACACAGGAAAAATGGGAATCACAAGGAACACAGGAAAAATGGGAATCACAAGGAACACAGGAAAAATGGGAATCACAAGGAACACAGGAAAAATGGAGTCACAAATATGACAGGACAGTTAAGCTTTAATACATTAGAGAAAAACTACTACAAGATAAATTTAGCAGCCACTTAAAATCAACTAAATAAATGTATGCATCTCACGGAGAACGTCAAAATAAACCTGTTCCACTAGTAGGATAACAATATACCTTAGATTACAAAAAAATATCAACAGATTGGTTGTACAGCAGTGATATAAAATGAATACTACTGATACTGAATGTTAATAAAGCAGTTGATCAAATACCTTTTCGTAGGTGATGTCAAAAGACAACTGGGCTTCAAAGAGAAGACGAGTGACGTTGTCAGAGGAACAGTTCACACTCTGTGTGGGGAATGATGGCTTAGGTGTGGTCTTGGGAGAAGTGGGAGTGGACCCAGAGGTGGACCCAGAGGTGGAGGTTGGAGTTTGAGTAGTAGTTTTATCTTGATCACATTCAGTTCCTGGGGAAGATAAATTATTCTATCACTTGTTTCAAGTATTGTGTACGATTTTTTCTAGCACAACATAATAGTTCAACCTGGTAAGAGTTTTAAATCTGTGATGTTTAACCACAACTAAATGGGAAGGGGTGGTCAAGTGGTAGAGCATTTGTCTGCTAATTCAAAAGTCTCAAGTTCAGGTCCCTGGCTAGTAGTAAGTCCCTGAGTCCACCCAACTCTGGGACGTGCCTGACATTAAGGAAAGTAAAGGGAGAAGGACAAAGTGCTGGCCACATTATCCCTTCATACGACGAGATCACAGACATAGTGCTGGCCACATTATCCCTTCATACGATGTGGCCACATTATCCCTTCATACGACGAGATCACAGACATAGTGCTGGCCACATTATCCCTTCATACGATGTGGCCACATTATCCCTTCATACGACGAGATCACAGACATAGTGCTGGCCACCTTATCCCTTCATACGACGCGGCTACATACATAGTGCTGGCCACATTATCCCTTCATACGACGCGGCTACATACATAGTGCTGGCCACATTATCCCTTCATACAACGAGGCCACAGACATAGTGCTGGCCACATTATGCCTTCATATGACGAGATCACAGACACGGGTGAACTTAACTTTCACTAAACATTATTAAATAACTTAATTCTCTACTCTCAATACAATAAAAAAAGAATCAGATTTTCACAGCTTAAATTAAACTTTTTTTAAAGTAGCTACCATAACCTTGACTGCTGGGAGCTGAGCACCCACTCACCTTCACTGAATGTATTGTTGACGATTTGACCAGCTCCCTCTCACCTTCACTGAATGTATTGTTGACAATTTGACCAGCACTGACTCACCTTCACTGAATGAATTGTTGACAATTTGACCAGCACCCACTCACCTTCATTGAATGTATCGTTGACAATTTGACCAGCACCCACTCACCTTCACTGAATGTATTGTTGACAATTTGACCAGCACCCACTCACCTGGACTGAATGTATTGTTGACAATTTGACCAGCACCCACTCACCTGCACTGAATGAATTGTTGACAATTTGACCAGCACCCACTCACCTGGACTGAATGAATTGTTGACAATTTGACCAGCACCCACTCACCTGGACTGAATGAATTGTTGACAATTTGACCAGCACCCACTCACCTGGACTGAATGAATTGTTGACAATTTGACCAGCACCCACTCACCTGGACTGAATGAATTGTTGACAATTTGACCAGCACCCACTCACCTGGACTGAATGTATCGTTAATTTTCCCAGCCTCGACATGCAAGTTGACAATAGTGGCAACCGCGGAGAAGGTGTAATTCTCCTCTGAGAAGTTCTTAAATTTGTGCTCAACAGATGCCCGACACAGAAAAGATTCATTCTTATTAAAAATGCCAATAGAATCATCACCATCTGTGCTCACATTAACTGTATAGGAAACAGAAAATACATGAGTAAATATGTTTATATTTACCAAGATTTAACATTACGTAACAAATTACTGTAGTTTACAAGAAGAGATTTAACATAATAAAACTTCAGCATACAAACAAACAAGACTCACTGGGTTTAGTAAGATTGAGATTTGTGAAGACTTTGTCGGCATCATATGAAAGGGAAGGCTGCACAGTCCAGCTGCTGTTGTCTGGGACAAAAAGTAGTTTAAATTCCACAGAGTCTTTGAGAGTCAATACAAGTTCTGTGCAGTTTGATCCTTGTTTCAACGTTGCATCAGTGATGTTGAATTTGACAGACTATTCATGTAAAAAAAATTTAAAAATCAATAAAATGAATGGGACTATGGGGGTCGGCGTGGTCGAGTTGGTAAAGCTCATGGTTGCTGAACCGAAAAGTCTCGAGTTCAAACCCTCGGGCAGATGAGGCTCGTTAGCTGGGGACAGCCACTCTTCTAGGAGAGACAACTCCAAAATTAAACAACTGCTGCCTTGTAGTTTGTTCTTGGTTGGACAAAGGCTATGGAAGCAAATCCAAAAAGAAAAGCAGGCTGAAATCGGAGTCAACGGCCTCAATGGCGCATAACCAGTTGACACGTAACGCTTAATTGTGTTGGAGGCGTGGTCGAGTCGGCAAAAAGCTCATGGTTGATACATTCGAACAGTCTCGAGTTCAAACCCACTGGCAGATAAATCTCGATCCCCTTCAACACTAATAATTAAGAACAAAGAAGAAGAAGAAAAAAGAAAGAAATTGGACTATATAGCGATATGTGTCTAAAAATGTAAATGTACAGAAAATTCTTAATTTACAATCTTTCTCAAATAATATAATTAGTGTTGTTTAAATTTATTGAAGTAAATGAAGCCAAGCCAAAGGGATAAAAAATTGGGAATAATTTAAGATACTTTATTTCTTAAAGCATAGTCTTACTTACATCATCTTTTATCTTTGAGGTAACATCCAGAGTAATTGTACCATCAATTTCCAACAAAATGCAGTCTGATACATTGAATGTTTTGGCTTGTGCTAGTAAAGAGAAAATATGAATACAATTTATTGTAATCAAATCAGAAGTTGTGGGGGAAAATAATACAAAAGGCAAAAAAATATAAAAAAAAAACATTCCAGATACAACAGTGTAATTCTTAGATTTCACTATTAAACTAGTGCATGGTTGAATTACGGCAGTATTGCTACAGCTACTTCCAACATTGTGAGCACAAGGATGTGAATATTTTATATGCTAGACATTTATCCAAGATGGAATACATTTTTTATGTCCCTCATTCAGCTAAGGAAACCGCATCAATAATCAAAAAGATAACACTGTTTCCATTAGACCAAACCCCATCCCCTACATTTTAAACTAGATTATAACCCTACTTCCATCATCTTCAACTAGATTATTCAAACAAACATACCCTGAGAATTAAAATCATTTAAGTAGTTAGTAAAGGGACATAAGCAAAAAAAAAAAACAAGGGACTTCATAAAACTGTCTAAATTTACTGTTTTTTTTTAAAACTACTTTTGTAAACCTTAGTAATTTGAGCCAAGTTTAAACAATCAAGCATAAAATGTTGAGTAATCACAGATAATATCAAAAGATATGAATTAAAGAATGTTATATTATCTCTGTAATACAATGAACAATGTGTCTATGCCCTGGCCATTCATTATCTTGGTCAGATTAAATCTCTAGTTATCTGTCAGACTGATTAAACTTAGCATCCCGTGACTCTAGGTACAAGAAAAATGCTACAGTGACCTGAATAATGTTAACACCCCTTTTATGTCCTACACATTAACACCCTCTCTTATTATCAACACCCATCTACATTTACAGCACACCATCCCTTCATATGCAGAAGCAAGAAAAATAGATTAACACTGCCCCCTTTTGAATGGTCATGTCAACACCCCCATCAAATGTTTAACATGTCTACACCCCCATCAAATGTTAAACATGTCAACACCCCCATCAAATGTTAAACATGTCAACACCCCCCATTAAATGTTCAACATGTCTACACCCCCATCAAATGTTAAACATGTCAACACCCCCCATCAAATGTTAAACATGTCAACACCCCCCATTAAATGTTCAACATGTCTACACCCCCATCAAATGTTAAACATGTCAACACCCCCCATCAAATGTTCAACATGTCTACACCCCCATCAAATGTTCAACACCCCCATCAAATGTTCAACATGTCTACACCCCCATCAAATGTTTAACATGTCTACACCCCCATCAAATGTTCAACATGTCTACACCCCCATCAAATGTTCAACATGCCAACACCCCCCATTAAATGTTCAACATGTCAACACCCCCATTAAATGTTCAACATGTCTACACCCCCATCAAATGTTCAACATGTCTACACCCCCATCAAATGTTCAACATGTCAACACCCCCATTAAATGTTCAACATGTCTACACCCCCATCAAATGTTCAAAATGTCAACACCCCCATCAAATGTTTAACATGTCAACACCCCCCATTAAATGTTCAACATGTCAACACCCCCATTAAATGTTAAACACCCTTTAGAAGGTAGTCACTTTTTACTGCTTATATAAACTTTTAAGGTCCTAATTCTGCATTCCCTACAGAGTGATAATTATATAAACTCTTTGATGAGGAAATTTTTGGCAGCTACACAGGGCTGAGTCCAAGGCATCAAAAATTCCTAACAAAATGACATTTTAATAGCAAACTACTGGGTAATTATAAAAAGACAAAACCCATCTGCTGTACGTGAATATATAATAGACAGAAATGTCATCACCTGATTATTCTGAGTTAATACACTTATGCAAATAAGGTATAACTTGCAGTGAATGTGGGAACAGAAATGTCACTTAGCCCACGAGGGAACAAGAACAATCAGCACGGCAAAATTTAACAGTTGCCACGCTATTTTAAACAGCTAGTTATAAAATCGATACTGGAGAAGAATAAGCATAGAGAACTAAATTATAAAATTAAAAATCTTTTTGAGTAAAGTTGTTATAATTCAAGATTATACAATACAAATTTTATCAATTCAAAATTTCTAAAAAAAAAAAAAAAAAAATTGTACTGCAAATAATTCATGAGCTAGTTTAACCAAAAGAAAATTTAAATCTCAATTTTCAATCAGGAGAAATTTAATTAACACAGCTTTTATACTCTTGGCATACAAAAGACAGGAAGTGAAACATTTCATACAAAACAAGAAATATTTCTATACAGATGTTTACAAAAACATTTCAAAATATTTATATAAAATTGTCCCTAATGTTGACAGTAAACAATGTCACAAAATCTCAATGACCGATAAGTGACATTGTAATGACAAGCATAATGTTATGCAGGCTCACATCACATCTAGTTTAATTAACCATGATTTGAGATTAGCACAGAATTTGAAAGTTAAATTTACGAAGATAACCATGTTGCAATGAGCCATTAACATAAATATAGATTGTGATTTCCAGACTATCACTTAAAGTAGTAGGTGCCTAACTATTAACATTTAGACATTAGCATTAATCAAATGAGATTACTTACCAGCAATGAAAAACAGGGCTAAAATAAAAATCTTCATTTTGTATAAGTACTTGGCAGTAGTAATGTGTAGATGTGGGAAGCAAAAATGGACCAGGTGTTACAAATCTATAAGATGTTAAAATGCCTGTGAATAAAAATTGAAGATCAGACATGATTTCAACATAATTGTAACAAGAGAACAAATTTTAGTATAGTGGCCGAGTGATGCCAAACTGGAGACTACAGAGCCTGCTCCCATCCAATTTCTTGACACTGGAGTTTTGCTCACACAACCTTGTACAATTGCTTTGGAGTTGTATACAATGATCCCTCTAGACAGCGCAGTTTACCATGCAGTCATTTTATAAAATGGCAGTCATTTTATAAAATGTAAGACTTTTAGAACACTGCACACACAAAATACACATTCCACACTAGCTTTTGCCCCTTAGAGTTAGAGGGAATGTTGGTTCCATATCTGACAAATTACACAACTATTTATTTTTAATGTTTTTTTTTAAAAAAAAGTTATATTTGGTTGGGTAAAAATAACACTAAGCTACCAAATCTGGATTAAAACTATTACTTCAGAATTCCATGTCAGAAGTAGACCTACATCTTTTTCCAAAACTAAATTTAGTTACATTAACAGCTACATTAAAAAAACAATTGTCAGTCCTCTTAAACTTTTCAACACTTAAGTACATACTAATTTAATAGTTAAACACAACGATGGCATTATACTTAAAGCAACTTGAAAAATCAAATTACATACAACAAAAACATTTTTATCAAAGCAAATGAGTCAGATATACAGGAAACTTGTCACCACAATAACTAGATCTATGTCTTAATGGTTAGGCTTGTTACTTTATTTAAATATGAAAACAAGTAGAAATGAGTGGGCTTTTTTTTTTTAAATTAATTTTCCTGATAGTTTTAAATGTAGTTCTTTTGCTAATTTTTTTTATCTTGGTCATAAGATATTCAATTTTGAAATGCAAAGTTTATTCAAAATTACAAGAAAATAAAAATATCAATTCAGAGTACTCAATTACTTCTCATGTAACTTGTAAGTATTTTGTTATGTATTTGAAATCTTACCATAAGACAAATGCAACTAGACCTTAGCAAGCTAATCTGCTGATGTGGCATGACATGCAATATCAGTTGATGGTGAGGGGCTAGGGACTAACATTTAACAATTACTTTTAAGATCCGCCTTTAGATTATTTTGTTAGTATTTGTTATTATTAGTAAGAATAGAAGAATTGTTACTTGTAGGTTCATGGTTGAGTGTATGTATTGTAAAAAAAAAACAAATTCTGAGATTAGTGAAATGTGCCTAAAGGCTCTTTCAATGGTATTTTTTCTTAAGATGTTACAGCTGTTTTTGGAAGAATCCACAGACTAGGGAAGGGGAGTATTCCTCCTACTAATGTCTAACAGTGAGTAGACCTACTCTAATACTATTGTAACAGTTATTTTTGGAAAAATCCACAGATTAGGGAAGGGGAGTATTACTACCAACATCCATTGAGTAGACACCAAGTTTTGTGTAAGGACTAGAGTTAGATCAATAGCTAAACCTAGGTGTGATGGCTATGGACACTATGGTGTAACTAGAGTTAGGGGTGGATTTTTTTATACCCATGCCTAATGGCACAATAATAGTCTTTAAAAAGGGCCATTACCAGGTAAATGGTAATACACATTTTACATACTAATGTCAACGCTAACCCTATCCCTAGCTTTACCATTACCATACGTCTAACCCTAATTTCTAAACATAAATATTAAAACGGAGGACACCGGTATAAACATTCTCCCCATACAGGTTAGGGTTAGTACTACTAGATTCTATTTACTCCTGAGAAAGCAAGTAGGCCTAATAGATCTGTATTAGTTGATAGTTATACTAATATTGGTAACAGTAACTGAATACCCATTGTTACAGATGATGCAATAGTGATTTTATCAAACGCTAGATGTAAAACCATGTTGGAGTACACATAAGTACCAATACTCCTTAAGGATCACATAAAACACTTCACAAAATAACAGCTAAAATTCAGTGATTTCATACTTATAACTATCTGAACCCCCCACCCCCCCTCCCCCAATCACAAAATTAAGAATCCCTTCTCCCCCTGGGAGTGTGACATTTATTTTATGGACTACCCTGCCTTAGCTATTTACCTACAGTAGCTCTAGATTCTAGTACTAGAATATATATAGTAATCTTTAAGCCTAATATAGGCCTTTCATATTTGTTTTATAAGCCTCGGTCTAGTATATTATTATACTAGGGCCTATTATTAATTAAAACTTTATTTTAAGCAGATTCTAGCCAGAAAAAGATACGCATGCGCAATGGAGAGAAACTACAACTTGCCTTTGCTGCGATGTTTTCGATGGTACTGCGCATGCATGTGTTTACAACCGCAGAACCCTAGCCATATCCCTAACCCTAGCTCAGCTATTAAGGTCATTGCGCTTGCGCAGAACTATCTTTTGCCGACCAAGTGGAGACGCTGGGGCAAAAATCTTTTTACCAGTAGTCACTTCGTTTATTTTATTTTATAACAAGATTCCATTCCTAGATTTTAAACATTATTGTAACTACTAGAGTCTAGTCTAGGTCCCTCATCTACAAAATTATTGTTTAGATCTAGAATCTACCACTAGGTGCCTAGATCTAGACCTCATTAATTAATAATAATTTTAGGTCTATAGTCTATTGCCAATTAATACTAATGACTAATGATGCCCTAATCTAATAGCGTAATAGCCGCGAGGCAAAAATAAAATTTAAAGCTAACTCTACTAGATCTAGCTCACAAACTAGTATTATTAATATTAGGGCCTCTAAAAGTAAACTCAAACTGAAACTAAAAGCTGTGGGCCTAGGCCTAAAATACTTGAATAAAATAAATCTAAGATCTAGAATTCGAGATCTAAATCTAAAAAATAGGCCTAGATAATAGATATTCATTCTAGATCTAGATCTAAATCTAGTTAAGAATCTGGATTCTAGATCTAGTCTAGAGTACTACTAGTTGTGACTAAGCTTACTTATTTTATTTCTATCATTATAAAATTCTATCAAACATCATCAGAAGGAAAAAATTAAAAATTAGAAAACCAAATCAGAAATCGTACTCAACGTCCTCGGGCTTACTGTGAAACGCAAAATCTACGTTCTTCGTGAAATATAATAAGTATAATGGGCTTTTTCTGTGCTTAAATATCAAACACCTCAGATAATTTCACAACAAATGATAAATTTGTTACAACAAACCGTTGGTTAAGCCGAAAAAAAGTGATCAACTTCACGTGAACAATCCACATCAGGTCAACAGTGCATGATCAACACCGTCATATGACTAAGTCACGTGGGTCTACAATAAACTTCACGGTTGCTATTTTAAAAAATGTCGGTTTTTTTTTATTTATTAAACATAGAAAGGTCTACCTTCTTACATGCTTTTTTGATGAATTATTTCATCTAGATCTTTAAAAATGATATTAGGGCCCACTATACTATAATTGTCCTTTAACAAAGGACAATTTTAAACATTGGACTATGTGAAGGCTATTTTTCCTTTACAATGTTATAGTTCTAAATATAGATAAAATAAACAAATGAGTTTTTTGCTGATTTAAGGTCTCGTTTTTCTAAGAGCTTAAAGTGTAAAATACGCAGTAGATTAACTAATAATTTTTCTACTAAAGCCTAATACTAATTAATTATACGTATAGATATAGATCCATGTATTGTTTTCATGCCTTCAACTATTTAAATAAAACTAATGTTATACAAAATGGATTAATTTCTGTTTGCTGTGTATATAATTTCTTAATGAAATTTGTCTAATGCATTAATGTGAGGTTAGTGAATGATTAACTTTAATCACGGATCCCATGCTAAAATAAAAAGAAATTGTTCTTAAAAAGCAGATTTGTTGCATGATATATATATATATATATATATATATATATATATATATATATATATATATATATATAGTCATATGCCAATATTAGGGTTTTCTTCGGGATTTATATAGTCACCGTTTTATTCGCAGTCCACCAAGGCACCGTATCAACAACAAAAAATTATGTGACCAGATCTCTTACAATTGTTACACAACAATCCCATTTCACTAAGTGCTCAGTATAAAAATGTAAACAAACATGTTGCTGTTGTGAGCATTTAAAAAACACCTGGGGTAAAACATACTGGGGCCTGTCTATTTACGATTTTATATTGCCTAATTTATTTACAAAACCAAAAACGTTGAAAGCTTCACCAGAGCACAAAGTGAAACAGTTGTCATTTTAGGGATCCGTTCAGCGAATAAGCTTTAGTCTACTATCTGACCCCCTTATCTCATTCTTAGTAAAACTATACAACAGCCATCGTTCCCCTCTACCCTCGATTATATTCCAACACTTCTCCCAACAACCTTGGCCTTTAGCCTTGGAGTTTGTCCTTGATCAGTTATCGATTCGAAAACACCTCGAACCAGCGATTGTACAAAAAAAAAAAAGTTACACTTTAAAAAGATCTTTGATGGGTAAATGGGAATTCCCAAATTTTTAAACTGATCCTAACTTTCAATACACTCATTTACAGTTTTATCTGTTGTTGTTTTAGATTTTGCTTTGCGGGAAAGGGAACTGTTTGGGCGGAGGTGGAGGGGATGGGGAGGGTACAATGCATGAGGCCTGCTCACCTCACACGAAGATTCTTACAATTATATCCAAACACACACTTCAAATACATACGACCATGCATAGACGTACATACATAGTCAACATACAAAGGCTGACCATACTGTCCCTTCATATTCCGAGGTCTCTGAAACAGATGGGCTCTACTTCATATGCGTCATGTGTATTGGGCACGAACGGGAAAAGATGATGACGACGATGACGATGGTTATGATGATGATGATGATGATGATGATGATAATCTTATTGTTATACGACGGTGGTTGAAAAAATGTCTATTTTCTAAACTTCAAACTTAAACTATTCAGCTTACAGGGGCGAAGTGATATATTTAGGCGCCGGTGCGCACTATCAATTTTGCGCCCCCCCCCCTTAAATTATAAAGATGTTCTTGTTGCATTTTTTAGT